ATCAGGGAAAGGAAAGGAAACAGAGGGAGGGAGTGGTGGTTGATCCTGACAGAAATTTCACAACAAATGCTTTTAGCTTTTCTACTTCAGTTTTACCCCTGCAAAGCTCAGCAGACTGTTTCTGGGCACCAAATCCAAATACATGAGCTGAGAAAACACCCTGTCCCCCCATCCCACCCCAGGTTGGGCATCAATACTGTGAGCCTGAGTACAAGTCTAGGTGAGACAATTACTTGGGCAATAAGCAGGAACACAGATGGTTTACATTATGATTTTTTGTTGTGTTTGCTTCTACACTGAAATAAACTATAATACTGTGCAAGTGGTGGGACTCATCTCCTGTCCAGAGAGTCAAAAATACCAGCCAATCAGGCTGGTAGCAAGCTGGATATCTCATGGGATACTGGAATTGTGGTCTCAGGATGGAGGAACTGTGAGACTCTAACAGAGGAAGCATTATAGCATGAAGCCTCGCACCAGCAGGAAGAAGAAAAGGGCTCTCAGAGACAAAAGAAAGAGTTGGCCTTTTAACCGAGACTGAATATCTGCAAAAATTTATAGAACAATAGCTTCAAAATTAGAGGTGTGATACCACCGGAATTTAAAAAGCAAACACAAATGCAGAGTTAAACTGTGAAAAATATGTATATGGCTTGTGCTCCAGGTTGCTCTGCCAAAGCTTACCCAGGGGGGCAAATGCAGCCACTTGCACAGGGTGGTGAGGGGACACAGGAGAAGTTCATGGCAAGATTCGCACAAGAGATCCCGCAATTCACACCTGCTGCTGGTAATCCAGGCACAGGAGATCTGCAGTCATAGTAGATTTTTCCTTCAGGGCATATATGAACTTCAAAAGTAAAATGCAGGTTAGATGAGATCAACTGCTCTTTTACACTGAAGGTTTTCTATTTGGTTTTGTTCACAATCTATTTATTTTAATGCACAGTTAGCCTACATTATGGCACACCTAAGAATACAATTGGAATAAAAGTCTATAGCTTCATTTCTATTAGAGATATAAAATTAATTTATGTTTTAATGTAAAAAAAAAATAAAATACCAAAACTTAATGTTAAGCATCTGGATCTACGCACCCTGGATCTGATACACAGCCCATTCTTAAAGATCGAGTAATTATGCCTTAAGTAGACAGAATCTTTAGAACTGGCATAATTTTCAATGTACTGAAATCCCTTCTAAATCCATTCAAAATTAATTAAAAATTTGCTTTCTAGAAATCAAGATCTTAAAGCTTCCTAAACATGGATATTGCACCTAATTTTAGGTATTCCCATGAGAGCATGTTGACCTACACCTCACGTCTAATTATTTATTTTTTAATTTCCCAAGTGACTTAGTAGTACAATTTGTGCTACAGAAAAAGGAAAAAGAAAAAAACCAAGACAACTTGTGCTCCTAGCCTCCTGTTTTATATATGTCATGATGTTAAATGTCTCATAATGAAAATACATATGAGGAGAAAACCAAATGACTATTCAATGTCAAAAACTTCCTCTGTGCAACTGTAATATGAGACAAGACTGTAAATTACCTGTATTTTCTGTAGTGGCTTCAATACATTTCACTGTTCCATTCAAACACTGACTGGAAAAGAGAAGCAAACCCATCTTTATTCAAGGCAAAAATGTTTTGTAGCCACCATGTTAAAAAAGATAATACAACTTAACTCAATCTAAACAACTGAAATCAGGAGTAGAAAGAGCATTAAAATCTAAAAACATGAGTTCTGACCAACATTTTGTTGGTGTTTTCTAATTGTTGATCTGTAATGAGGGCCCAAACTCACAAAGGTGTTTATGTACTATTTAATTGCCTAATTTTACTGAAATAAAAAAGAAGCTGGGTATGTCAGCCTCTGTAGGAACATAGGGCCAGGTGATTCAGGATGCCAGCAGTGTAATACAAAATGCTATCCGCCTTGCTGAATACGGAAGGATACAGTATGAAAATTTCCTGTTGCACAGATGTTAGGATCCATAGCTTGATTCTTTTTATGATAAAATACAGAACTGCAGAAAAACACATTTAAAAATAAACCTAGTCTTCATTTTTTATCTTTTCCTTAAAAAACAAAAACTGTGAAAACCCAAAGCGTTGCAGAGGCATAGCAATGGCAGAAAAATAAAGCCCTCACCTCTTGAACTACATGATTACCAAGCTTCAGTTACAACAACTATAATATATAAGCCCTCAGCAAGAATTAACCTTGACACTAAAGTCACAGACATAATTTTAAATCAGCAGGTTGAGAGCATTTCTTGTAAAATTAACAAGTTTGACCAGGAAACCTGGGAGGTTTCCCCACTTGTTTCAGTGAGGTCAGGATTCCATCATGAATTAATAATACAAAATGACACATATATAGCTCCCTGCAAGCCTTTGTTTGAAAGACTTTCCAAAATAGAATCACATTGTTTATTCTTCTGAAACCAGCCTCATATTGCTATCATCATGCCCCTAGGTCTAATAACAGGGCTGCAACCTGTACGTGTGTGTTTCAAGATACTCTTTAGACCCTGGTTTACAGAATTTTCCAGGCATCCTGTTGTTAAAATAAGCAGGTATGTAATCAAATTTATATTAGGCTCCCCTTTACTAAGTGTGTAACAAAAATAAAATCTTGATACAATAGACCTTCATATTATGTGAAAAGTTCTCAAGGCTCGAGTAGCATACAAACTGTGATACATGAAAAATAAAACTCTTAGCACTCAAACCTACCAGGAGCCTGTTGGTGTAGGGAGGATTTCTCCAGGCTGGAGGGCTGTGCCCTTGTAATGACAATGACAGGCAGATCTGTTAAAAGAGTATTATGCATGTAGATACAAACCCAAGATGAAATGGGATTTAAGGGCAATCCATTTATCAAGCTCTTATGATAAGCAGGCCTTATAATTAATTAATTAAATCTTTATATTTACATTATACTTCTAAAGGCAAAAACTAAAGGATGACACTCTGACTGGATGGAAGTCAGTGGCAAAACTCCTACCATTTTCAACAAAGCCAGGATTTTCCTCGATCTCCATATTATTTATTTGCTGTTTCTGTGCATTACTCTTATAGCAAGGAGCTTTTCTTCCCAGTTATGGGAGTAATATGGCAACATGTAGTTCCCATTCAAAGTACTGTCAAAATCACGGGACAGAGGAATTATCATAGCAAAATCTCTGTCCATGATAAAAGCCAGATGGGATAGAAGTAACAACAGCATTCCCTAGAAACCATGCAAAAATATGAGAATACCAAGTTACCTCACACTCTTTAATAGTTTGAAACAGTCTTTATCCCTATAGTATGAACTTTGCTGATCTCTCCAAAATATATGTTGCAATGAACAGCAGAACTCTGTATAATCTTGAAATTGATATAAATACTCATTCCAGTTTTTAATTCAGTACCTGAAGTCAGTAACTCCCCATGGTGGTAAACTGTAAAATTTTGGTACACAATGTACAAAAAACTATTTCCTTTCATTTATCATTTCCTTCAATTTAACTGAAGGGGTTTGCATTGCAGAAAAAAGACAGTCCTAGCCACTCTCTCCATATTATCTCTGACCTTATGGATTGCTACTACGTAGATTCCTTCTCATTTTTTCTTAAGTGTTAAAAACAAGGTTTTCATGTGAAAATGCTTTCCTATGAATTAAAAAAGTTTCATCACACTTCTCTAAAGCAGTGCAACATATTTTCTCTGAAGTGCAGTACACACAGTGGCAGATGAGGCCCCGCTATTGATCAGTACAAAAGAATATAAAATCACATATTGCTTGCTATCACGTTTAGGCAGTCTACATCTTGAGGGAAACAGCAGAAAAACTATGTTAAGTATTGCTGGAAAGAGGAAAATGTGCCTACACATAGATTCTGTTTTCTTATGACTTACACTGATACACAAAAGTTGACTGACTCTTCAAAATATTTCCCATCAGGACAATTACATCCTTCTGCACAGTCATCACCACAGATTTTTGCCATAGAAAGTGAAGCACAGGAGTGTTTACAAAAAGAAGAGCACTGATGATAAAGCATACCACTGTGACACATCACAGCTGGAGGAGAGAGAGGGAGAGAGAAGGGAGAACAACATACTCTTAAAATGTGAAAAATAGAAAACAAAGCAGTATATCATGGGAGTGCAAAACAGCAAAGCAAAATGGTCCCTTGCTGCACTGGGGTGAGTTAAAATGCATGAGAAAAATATGCTATTTAACTGATTTCTTAAGTTAGAAATGTTTAGATGCAGGTGGATTTATGTTAGACAATTACTTGGCTGGAATTGTCTATTTTGTAAGTAGGTGTCTATTTTTTATATACGGGGGGGGTGCCGATCTAGTAACTCAGACTTCCAAGAGAGGAAGAATGGTCCAGTTAAGCTTAAGCCATTACTCTACGGTTATAAACGCCCTGTTTTAAATCGTTGCTATATCCTACTTGGCAAACCACTGCCCACCCTGCCCTGCTTGCCCTGGGGAGCCCCTGCCACCCCAGCTTGCCTGCCCTTAGGGAACAGCCCTTTTCCTTGCCACTCCCTGACTACTTTCACCTAATAGGGGCTTCCACTTGACTTTGGGGGTTCAAAATGAGAAATTTAAATTCTCTTTGTAGCCCCTGGAAAGGGACAGGCCCACCCTGTGAGGTAGCTTGGGGTCCCTGATTCAGATGCTTAATGTAAAGGCTATTAGCATTCTCTCCTAAGTGTATCATTAGCCCATGGCACAATTCCAATTTCCAGCAAAAAAAGGTCAATCCCTGTATTTTGTGGAGTGAATGGTACTTGTAGAATTTTACACATTTCAAAAAGATAGTCTGTTCTACAAACTTTACTCACCACAGTAAGATATATGAGATCTGAAGTCAACGACGACCCCGTGCTTGCCACAGACATAAGCATAGTGTGCCAAAGCATTACACAAACAGCTGCTTCCACATTTGCATGCATCAAAGCGGCATAGCTGGTAGTATAATCCTGGACTGATGTAGGCATGGCAGGGAGCAAAAACATCTTGATTGATGATATCACAGTGAGATGCATACCCAGCTAAGAGAAGGTGACATTGTTTTAGCCAGATCCATTTTAATATAACAGTTAGTCAAATGAATAGCACAGAAAATTAAAACCAAACGTAGCCAGTTGTGCAACAAAAACTTGTATACAGTGTCTTTCTGCAAAGTTCTATAGTTTAAAACTGATATTGTAAGCAACTTCCTCAACAATAAATTCCACTTAAGATAAAAATAACTAAAGATAAAAACAGTTTTGCCTTCCTCTAGTAGTGCAGGAAAGTTAAACGGCAAAATAATATATTTCAAAAGAGTAAGATAGAAGAGTCCTCCAAAGTTTGGAATATATTTTTTCCTACTTGATGTTTTATTTAGCATTGAAATCAGTAATGGTCATATACTTCTTGGGATGTGGACTCAGGAAGCATTACAAACTGGAGCTTGAGGGCATGCAAGTCCCAAGCTGGCCATATAGCACCAACAGACCCTCCTCCTACCACTGACGCCTACTACCACCACAAGTGGTGGAGTATCTCAGGAACACCATAGTGTGGATCATATTTAAGCCAATTTTGCTGCTAAAAGAGTGTCCCTACCCTTCATCTTCCCTGTTCATTCCCACATACACACACTGACACAAGGATTTCTGGAGTGTCTCAGTAAACTAGATTCAAGGAATGAACTTGACTTGGTTGAAAAGTAACCTAACAAAATAGGTAAAGAAACAAAAAATAATTTGTTTTTCAGTTTCATCAGAATAAGATCATCACAGAACTGGAAAAATGCTTGTGCTGGCTCAGCACAGGTGGTAGCATGGGGCATGACCACTTACTGAGGGACTGCTTTTTCCAGTGACGATTACAAGATCACAGAAAAATTTAGGCTGGAAGGGACCTCAGGTGGACATGTAGTCCACCCTTGTGCTCTAAGCATCTTACACTTATGTCAAACTCCACCTTCACTGAAGAAGCACAGAACTGAAGGTGACGCCTGAAGTATCTTGGAGAGAACTAACTTGGCTGAGATGTACTGTTTTAGAAGACAGCCAATGCTGAAGGCATAAAAAGTCTTAGAATGCCCCAGATTCTTCAAGGTTTATGGTTATTCTAGGCTTGCTCCCACAGACTCTAAATATGGCTAAATCCCACATCCTTAGTGAGGCCTTATGTCTGAAACATTACAAACATTAGACTAAATTCTGTCAGAATTGGCAACTACTGTCAGCCCATTGTCTTCATTAATTGAAAAGAACAGCAACATGGAAAGGAGGAGACAGTGGAAGTTCAATGCAAAACATAGGCACGCCAACCAGCCAAAACTAAAACTTTATGCATAAATTTGAACAAATCCATGGATCTCAGATTTTTTGCATGAGTTTGTGTCAGAGAGTACAGATGGATGGTAAGGAATTTTTAATGCAACAAGCATGGAGAAGCTAGAGACGGGACTTCTGATCTGAACACTCTCTCAGCAAGACACTGTCTCCTGTGCTTTCTTTGTCAATCTGCAAATATGTATCACATCATTCCTCTTGACTGGCATAATTTACAGGACTACAGACAGACTACAGTTCTACTGCCTAGTACTCTGCATGTATGTTAGACAGCAGAATTTAGGACTCATGGCCAGTATATCCAGCATTAAATGATCAGCTATTTATGAAGGATTTACTTCATTTTACTTGTGGAATGTACGAGAAGAATGGTCTTTGCCAAAAAAGAAAAAGGAAAGAAGGAGTGCACGACTAAACCTGAAGTTGAAATACATGTATGTGCAACTCATTCACAGAGAAAACAAAAAAATGTCCCATAATAATTCTAATAAGCTAATTCTAGACTCCCATGTGAAAACATACCATTTTGCTGATTAACGTTGCAGGGATCAACCACAGGAATATTGATAGGCACAGAACAAGCTGAAGAAACCTTCCATGCATTGGCATGAAGTTGTGGGGTCCCCTCTATCATCCCTGCTGGAGAACTGAAAAGGAAAATGTCAACAGTCCAAGCATCCTGCTGACCTTATGGATTACATAGGTGAGGACGCAAGTACATCAAAAAGCCCTAGATGCATAGTCACATTGAACACTTAGCGTGTCAAAAGAATTTCCATCTGTGAGGTATAAAAGAAAAGAGGGCATGTGAAGCTTTTTCCTCAATATTTTACTCATGCAAAAATGTTCTTACACTCAAAGTCTGCCCTCGCTAACGCTTAATTCAAGTACTCTGAAATCAGTTGGAGGAGGCATTGATGAGAGGAGAATTTGGCCTTTATTCAAGTGCATACATCCAGTGAAATGTCAAAAAATGGACCTGTTAGCTAATGTCAGTGTTCTAGAGGGGGCCGTTTGCATTTTGATGCTGGTTTTGACCAAGTATTTCAAAAGTATTTATTATTGCTAAAAAAGTTTTGTGATATTATAGCTTGAGGAACTTTGGGGGAAATGAACTAAAAGAATAAGGAAAGTGTGCCCTTCTAATGAAACTATTCCTGCGGTTCAGAATTACATTTTTTTCTGTTAAAACTTGATGTGGAGAAAAAAAAATCAAGCAGTAGTAAGTGTTAATCAGGTGAGGATGATTTTAGTAGTATTATCCACTCTCACGTATTTGCTCTGATGATAAGGGAGCAGCAGGGAGGGAAAAAAGTGCATTCAAGCAATATCATCATCCAATAACTTCTATAAATAATATAGCATTTTTCTAGAATTACTTAACTAAACATCTTAGAATGACTTAGCTAAATTTATGAGTTTCATATTTTAAAAACTGACTAACATTTTAATTAAGAGATTTTATACTGGTTAGTTTAATGAAGTATCAGCATGTTAATGAAATGAAATAATCAGATGATTACATTCAACGAAACTTTTTGCTTGTTATTAAATGCAATGAAAATGTACAATATGCAACTTACAGAAAATCATCTCTTAAGTTCCCATTGTACGTTCCACACAGTCCTAATGTTCTTCTCTTCCAGCCAACATCAACTTGAACATAGATCCTCTCTCCATCTCTAGCAAACATTATCTTCAAACCAAAACTAGTTTTCAGTTGAACAAACAAAGAAGATATATTCTGAATTTCAATAACCCCTGCACACAGCAAAAGAAAAACAAAGTCACTGACATCCAGCTTCCAGGTTGTATTGATTTACCCCTCAAACAAAATAGATTTCAAAACATAGAAATGAAATGAGAAACTACACACAACCTCACCTGCAGCCAAATAAAGTCACCTTTCTCCATCTGAACTTATGAGACTACATATCTTTTTCATTAGCAACACAAACCGAGCCAAATAAAGTCACCTTTCTCCATCTGAACTTTTCATTAGCAACACAAACCAGGATTTGCAACTACTGTCAACAGTAAAAAAATCCCTCACCTTTCTGTACCTGTGAGTTATCCAGAAACACTTCTTGCATTTCATTTTTTTTTTAGAAGAAAGCAATGCAACAGCATGCCTCTGGCAACGAGCAGACAAGACAGGAAACCACTTGTTTCTTAGTCTCCAGGGATGTTACAAGATTAATTAACAGATGTCTGTAAAGTGTATTGCAATCTTTAGATACGAGGTTCTCTCTTACTACTATTGATATGACATCAGCATAGCTCCTTCCTCAGGCTGTATGTGAACTAAGGCCCTATCAAATTCCCAGCTTTCCTTCCCAGCAAATCCATTATGTGAGGAAATGGAAATTTCACAGTCACAGCATTCATTTGCTACACATTGTTGGGCTACTCGCAGCTGCAGGCTTAAAGCAGATCTACCTTCACAAGCAGCCTCTACGCATGCACACACACACACACACTTAGGTGCATAAACTGAGAAGAGGCAGATAAAATGCTTATGTGAGCTTAAAGATGTTCTTAGGTGAGAAGACTTACTAGATACACCCAATTACCAAGAATGTGACACCAAAATATTTGTGATAGATTATATTTGTCACAGACATATAAATAAAGAGACAAGAAAGTGAATAGGGACTGACTCAAAAGACATGAAATGAAATTATGAAGCAGAAGTGTCAACATAACAAAGTATAACTGAGCAATGAAACTCATTGCCATAGGAAGCTGTCAATGCCAAAAGCAGAACCGTGACTGGACAAATTCCATGAAGAAAAGACATAGCTGTAACTACCAGCACAGAACTCCCTAAACTCTGTTTTGCCAGAGGCTGGGAAAGGAAAGGGGAACTCCCACTTTACTCTTTCAGAAAGAGAGTAAAAATCCAGTAAGAATTTACTTCTGATCACTGCAAGGTACGAAACTTAGCAGTATCATTTTGACCCTCAGTGCTTAATTTTATAACATCATTTTAAGGCTGATTTATTTTACTATCCTTTCCAAAAAAGGTGAAGTAACCTGCCTGAAATCACAACATAAGGCAGTACTGAAAGCAATGTAGATCCCATAGAGCACATAGGTTCTACTCCATGCCATTTATTCAAAAAAGTTTTAATCAAGCTGGACCTTAACATCAGCATCAAGATGATTTCTAACCTCTCTTCACCTCCTTCTTTTTCTTACCTCCACCCCCTAAACACAAACAAAATGAGTGGAATTTCTAGGTACTCTGCAAGATAAGAAATGCAAAGAAATGAGGGCAAAGTGGAGGACCCTCTTTCACTTTCATGAAAAAGTACATTTCTGGAACCATTACTAAGGTTATCAGTAAATGATTATACATTTCGCAAGTTATGTTTGAAGATATTCCTTTTTCATAGACAGATATTATTAAAAAGCTTTGGGGCATTTAAAAGAAAGAATGTGAACCCTGGTAAAATTCTACTCCATGCACTTCTTACCATTAAGGTTAAAAACTTGGTTAGGGCCAGTTTGGACTTGACCATGTCTCGTGAGAGTTATTTGTTTGTTCACATCATCTTGAAGAACTAGTGTTATAGACTCAATGCAGGCGTGGTCAAAGTTCTAAGTAGAAACAAGTTTCACCATCAGAAACAAGAAAAGACATTAATATTACCATGGAAAGCAAAAACAAAATAACAGGAAGAAACAGTTGTATAGAAAGGAAATACCAGAACTGTCATCAGGTAAATCAGTTATGAACTATCACTCAAAGCATTAAACAGAGCACTCAAAATTGTATGTAGAACATAATAAAACTTTGCATATGCATATAAGAGCAAGGAGAATGTGTTTCATCTATTATGGCAGTCTAGTAGTAAATGGACACAGGTCCCCAAGTACTGATACTGGGTTCAAAAGGCCATACATGCATGGCCACCCTGGGTACTCCTCATTGCTGGGTTAACCAGTGTTTGAGCAAGAGTCTGATCCCATCTATATCAAGCTCATGCAACCAGAGCCCAAATGCAGCAATGCAGGAGAAACTATTGCGCACCTCAAGGTGCTTGAAACATAGTCATGATCTCTGACTGCACACCAAAAGGATATAATATCTCCAGAATTATAATAATTTATAAATATCTGACAATCAAAAACTGATGACTTACAAATTAACTCACACCCATCATTTTAGAGTGCTATCCAGGCAGAATTTATGAACCTAAGTACAGGACAAAAGGTGACACATAACCAGCTTAAGCCAAGCTTCTTATGCTCCCCAGGGCCCCTCTGTTTTCACACAGAAACTTTCCAAGGTGCCTAAAGTTGTGCTAAGGGTAATTTCCAGCAGCATCCTTGTCTCTCAGTGTCTACCTAACCAATCACTTCATGCTTGAGGCCACCTGAAATGCAGAAACAGGAGTCTTAACACCTGTGCAGAAGGAGGAGGCATCAGCTCATAGTCTAGCTTTTGAAGGGACATAAGAGACACTCCTGTGGTAAGGCAGCATCACTCCTTGCTGATGACTTCAGGCATCCCAGCCCTCGGCACATGGACAGCTGTGAGTGACAGTCTCAGAGCCCCTTCTGAGAGCCTAGGTGACTAATAACGTCATTAAATCCAGTCTTGCAGATAAGTACTTTATACAAGCACCTCTATTCATAAAGCCTGTTGTTGGATAACTGCCAAAATACTTTCAAATAAATATGCATGGTGGCTAGTCTCTTCAATAGTTTTCTAAAAGGTATTGTTCCAACAAATTAAATATGCTATAACATATCAAATAAAAATCTAAAGCTACCAGAAAAAAAAATCTCTTGCCTAACTAGCAGTGTGTTAAAACTGATCAGTGCTGCCAGCAATGCTTTTCTAAAGCCTAAGACATCTGTTTGTACCATAATCAAAGATCTATATACTTAATATGCATAAAAGAGTAACTCTTCAGACTTTATCCCTCTAAAGATGCAACTGATTTTATAAAGGGCGATACAACTTATAGCAATACAACCACATACAAAAAAAATGGTTTCAATTTATATTTTCTGTTAAATATGATCCAGTAGTTTACAGTAGAACCTACACAAGATTGCCTGAAATATGGATGGACATGTTTGTTGGGAATGTTAAACAAAGATGTGACTTACCTGTCCACAAGGTGCTTTCTGTAAAGTGATTGTGAATTTGTTTTTCCCAGTGCCTTTTACCAAAATGTACTGGCAAATCCCAAGAAAGGTAAAATGACGTCCATCAAAGGTTGTGAAATGAGAACTACCTGTGATGGAGCACTCAGCTTGAGAGAAAAAGGATAAACAAGAATGTTCACTTGCATAAAAATGTATCATTATTCTGTAAATGATGAAAGAGAGATAAATAAGAAACTTTCTCTTTATTTCTAAGCACATAATCAAGGCTAACTTTAATCTATCTAGTCATTATGGCATTCGGAAATAAAATGTGTTATAGATACCTATTTCCATCAGACACCATCTCATATTGCACACAATGATGTGCAGCATCTTTTGGTTCTACTAGGTGAGGTGCCTTTGAGTCACAAGTTCTCTAAAATACAAAAGATTTTTCTCTTTGTTACAACTCTGAAGTTTCCTAGAATCTTATTCCTCATCATCTTTTGGTATGGCTGAGTGTGAAAGAGGACAAGCATCTTTCTTCTTCCTTCTAGGTACTATGGTGTTGCTTGTTACAGCGGGTATGAAGAAGCTGCAGGTGTCTGTCTTCATGGCACATCTATATTAGTTTTTCATTTCAGATCAGGAGCACACTGTTGAAGCAACTCTGCAGCGTGTCCCCACTTACTGCACTTTCATTCACACCATGGGGCAGTGTCAGAGCACATGAACTGCAGGAGGTGCTCTGTTGGGAGCACATCTAACCTGCTCCGGCTGCTAACAGGTATTCAGTCCCTAGGATCTCACTACAGCACTCATAATTACCACCCCCCAGCCCCCACCCGGTGCACCCACAGCACACACAAGACATGGGGAGTGGTTCTCAGTGTCAACTTTTTTACTACAGACCCACCCTGTCAAGCCTTGCTTAGTAACTGTTAAGCCTTGCTCATTACCTCATTCAGAGGGGGCCTTTGATTTTTTAAAAGTTCTCTCTTTCACAAGTTTCATAGTATAATCTTGTCTAAGATACAGAACTGCCAAGGGAGTTTCATTACTCGACTACTGCATGTTCCTCTGAGAAATTCATTAGAGACATGTAATCTTTAAAGGTAAGGATCATTATCCAAACATGAACTGCTGTTACAAGGGAGAAAATACAGCACGCTGAGAGTCAGAATGATGTTTTTCTTATTATTTTCATTACAGTTGCACCTAGAAGTGAGGATATCCTTATACCTGGCCTAGGTACTGCACAGGCAGTAGCAATAAGCTGCCTGCCCCAAAGAACATAGAGCATAAACAGGAGATAGAAAACAAGAGGTGGATGTAACACACTGAGTTAGGGAAGCAAATGGGAAAAGGTAAGATGAGTAAGGTCAGGCAGTTAACAGCTTCACCCCAGCTGGCCCATTGCTACTCTCAACATCCTTCTGCTTAATCTTTCTTCTTAAATTATCATCCCAAGCCCTTGGATCTTATTTAACTCTGTTGTCTTCTGAAAAGTTTGTCCCTTGTGTTCACTGAGGAGAGAAAAGAATAATGAAATACAGGTACCTGGGCAATCATGATCAGTGCAGTTCCAAATGCCACCAATACAAATACTAAAAAGAAAAATCACAAAACACAGAAATTCAGTGTTCTGATCTTTAGCAAAAAGAGCAGCTCTGAGCTAATTAATATGTCTTGAATTCACCCTTTCCACAGAATAGCCTGCATATTTTAGTGATGCACTGGGCCCAGACTGTGAAACATAGATACTAACAATTCTTTAAAATGTAAGTGTGACTGTGGTGTTAAACTAACTATGGGCAGCAGCCCCAGAGAGAGGAAACACAGATGTGAGGCTTTCACATACCAGTTGCTACATTCTTGTTCAATTTTTGAGCCTACAGGGAAGGCAGTTCCATGATAAATACAAGGACAATTTGACACAGAGATGCAAGTTCCATTTTCCATAATGAGACCTATTGGGAGGGAAGTTCACAAATGAGATAAAAAACAAATTAATGAACTCCGGATCACTGCTCTTCCCCCATCTGACTCAAGCATTCAAATCTGCCAGAAGGTGATCTCACCAGTCTTAACCAGCAAAAAGAGTCACCCAGTGAGTGCAGAGCTCAGAGTGATGAACAGTGAAGCTCTCTCAAAGCAGTTGCCACTCTGAATAGTTGCTTTATGAAAAATGCTTGCCTTAAGTACGTAAAACTGTACAGACTCAAAAATGAAAAGACTCTCAGATCACATAATCTTTAGTCCTTCTAGGACAGGACCGTTCATAGTCCAATCCCTAATTTTTATTGAGAACAGGTCTCAGGAAGCTTGTTTTCTTGTACAGAGCATGAGACACATTCTGTTTCAACAAAACCTCAATGTATTTTGGAATAATTCAAATAAAGTGGATTAAATTTATGCAATATCTTATTGTAGCAAGCATTAGTGATGGCTCCAGATTTTAACCTCTGTATTCTAGAGAAATGTTTAGAACACAATAAAAGGAAGCATCACAGTAAGAATAATAGCTAGAGCAGAATTTAAAATATTCATGTTTTCAGGCTTTAACTTCAAGCATTGTCTGTTTAGATAACTTTATTATGATGTTGGATATTAGCTTTACACATATTTTTTCACATAAAATTGACAGTACTTACCATCTGGACAGTAACAGCCATCTAAGCAGTGTAGATTGCTGCCAAGACAGTCTTTTTCAAATGTGCAGGTTGGTGGGCAACAACTGATACAGTCACGGTGTACAAAGCTGTCTTCACACTTGTCAGCTAGAAAAAATACATGGTACATTGAACATCAGTGCAATTTCTCTTTCCTTACTGGAGAACGCCTCTCTCTCAAATAAACAGTTGTGTGTGCTTCTCATATAGGTAATTATTCAGATCAGGTACAATGGATTATTTGGAGAAGTTTTAACTGATGAACTGTGGTGAATCTCTCATCAGTATTTAAGTCTTTTTTAGCAAATTCTTACATCACCCCTCTGAAAGAAGTTATAGTTTCTGTGATAGGACAACATGTGCTCATATCTCAGATAGTTCAAAGTCTTGTGCAAGAGACTGAACTGCAATTGATGTCTGGTGGTGATAACTAGAAGGAGCTGGATTAACTCTATTAATTCTGTTTCAGGGCCAGTCTAGGCTGAAAGGTCACCTGGAAAGAGGGGCAACATCAGATCTCCACAGACATTTGTTCTTTGTCCTAGAATATGATCAGCACACATGATGTTTCAAGCAATCTATGGAAACATGAATTTTGTATGGAGCTATATCAGATCACAATGGAATTAAAATAGTCCTCTAGCAAGTCATTGACTTCATTATTCACCAGCAACAGTGAAGCTGGCTAATCTACTCCAGTATCAGGTTTGAGTCCTATAGTGACAAGTGTTGTTAAAATGGAATTATTTGAAATTAATACATGGGGTATCTCAAAGGTCACATAGTATGCTTTATTAGAGTCTTACTACAGGCAGGAAAGTCATCCCTCCAGTCCCGCACCGGGGACCCAGCGTGAGAGCATGCTCTAGCGTACTCCGTCACCGCCCTGCAGTATGTTTCATCATCATCCACTCTGAAATGATAAAACAAGAGAGTAATCATGGAACTCAAATCCCAGCTACAAATCTCTGCTATGGGACACTGCACAGGATACTTCAGACACAGCTGATACCATTCAGTCATAATGGCACACAGTGAAAATAGTATGAAAAGGAAAGAGCTATACTGAATACACTGTTGTGTTCTTATCATTTGATCTCACAAAAAGTTATTGCATTTTAATACTACCACAATGAACAAACCCACTAATTTACTACAAAAAAAAAGATAAATGCTGCTTGTGGTGAAAGAGAAATATGACCTTGTCTTGAAAACAATGGACAACTCAACAGCCTCAAGATCCGCATCTCAGACCCTTTCCCTCCTGCATGACATAGAAACTCTGACCCGCACTGATAAAAGACATTCTGGTCCAAGTAGCAAGTTCAAGTTTCCAATTGCCTGTCAGTCCTTGAACTTAGGCAAGAAGAACCCTGTTGGTGGACTCCTGTCCTTGTGCTGAAGTGCTCGGCACAGAAGCATTATCCACCGAATAGTATAGACAGGCTTAGGGATTTACAGTGTGACCTTGTCAAAGACATTATCTCTGCCTTTGTCTATACAGAAGCAGCTGTACAGTGTACTTTTGCCAGGATCAAGGAAAGAGATGTTCATCAGTGTTTAGGTAAACTGTAATTTTATTCAGACGTAAACCATATAAGGTGAGATACCACCAACATTTTGTTACTGTGAAAGTCCAATTCCCATCACTCACTGTGAAGGACTTGATGCCAAAATAAACTAGTCATAAAACAACATTTCTATTATAAGCATGACTGTGACAGATCAGCTGAGTTTGTCTTTCGGCACACAAGATCATGCTTCAAAAGGTAATGGTCTTAAGAATATATTGTATTATGTTTGTATTCTGCTTTCAACACATCTGTTATCAAATCAAACACCACTATACTCTTTGTTACAGTGATCAGAGTCTCTCCAGCTATCCTTATCTAATCCAATTAAATGGGTCTTAATAGAAAGAACACTTGGCATACAAAATGGCCCCAGAAAAAACTTCATAAACTGACACTAAGCCACAAGAAGACAGGCCTCTTTTCTAAACAAAATAAGCCTAAATTAATGAGGTTCTGAGACACAGAAACTTCCTTCAAGGTTTTTAACATTCACACAATTCATACCAACACACATATGCATGCTGACAAAAATCAAATCCGCCTTAACACCATGACACTGATTCAATATCACATTTGAAAAATTGCTTTTCATTCTTCTTCTTCTGCTAAGAAAAATTCACAATAAACTCCTGACTTACAAAGACACCATACAGAGGCAACTTCTCTCTTCTCTGAGTGAAATCAATGTACAGATCATAAACTTCAGGAAGCACTTTGGAGTTTTGCCTACAAACAAATTCTTCCATCTTGACTTTATGGTAAAGCAGAAAACTAAAAATTCATCAAAAATGAACTAACAAGTTGTAATGGATTATACTAAGTGATTCTTACTTTTAGTCTTGTGATCATTTCTATATGTTTTTGATTAAATTGATGATGCTGTGAGAAGGCCATAACAGTATCTGGTAAAAACCCTGCTATTTATGACCATTACTTCTTATTTTAAAAACCCTACTAAAAAGGAAGTGGTACATTGCTCAGTCATCTATTCAATTACACTCTGGAGCATCAGTTTAACTTGAATGACAAGAACAAAACAGGAATCAGGAGAGCTCAGGGAAAAATACCAGGTTGCATGTAATGCCAGTGGCAGCTAAGGGGGTGTAGTTCCCACCAAAGCCAATGAGAGTTGAATTTCTTTTAACAACTCTGAATTTGCATAAATAAAATCATTTTTTAAAAATCTACTAATTTGAACCATAGTGGTTGCTCATAAAAACAGTCCAACTGTGTCAGACAAATGGTCCAGCTCCTCCAGTGTCATTGGTAGTTCCTCTTAGTATCATCTCCATGTATTTTTGATTCAGGACCTCGAGATACAGGTTTCAGGTTTTTTGCGATTAGCAGCTCCTCTTTCATCATCAGTGATTCTCCATAGATTTCTATTCCATGTATTGGTCTAATATTTCCTTGAATCCATGTAAACCTTTAGCAATCAGAATATCCCTTGGCAGGCTGGTTCTGTACCCTTTGTTTCCTCACTAAATCACCCACTGAGAAACCCCATCTCTTTCACTTTGAACTTGGTTCCTCCTAACTTTCCTCAGTGCTGCTCAGTTCTGGTCTCAAACAAAAGAGTGAGCATTCATTTCATGCATCAAAAATAAATAAACAAGAATTCCAGTCTTACCTGCAAAGATCATTCATACAGCTAGAAATGTAAGAATATGGATCTATGCTTTCATGACAGCTGAGAAAAGGAAACTGTAGGAATATTTGGCACTTGAAGAATATGTCCTGCACATTAAGGAGAATCAGTAAACGACAGTTAACAAATATTTTCTGAACAAGCCTAATTCTTTTTAGCTTTGTTTCCCTAATCTAGGGACCTTTACATCCCCATTAAAATTTGAGAATCTCACAGACTCAATTTATTATTATATCTCCTTTAACATTCTTCCTAAAATTTGTCCTCTCTACCTAGGCTGGCTTGATTGCACTTTTAATGCAGGAGCTGAGCATGTTACTTCTACAGTATTTCACAATTTCCAAAATAATGAGGTGTAAGATGCCAGGACTGGAAACTGAACCCAAGTTTAATGCAGCAATGAAGAGCTCTGCCAGCAGACCTGTGCCACTTGGCACATTCTATCTGAGCCTTTGTACTTTTAAGCTAAACATCTGAAGATCTTCAGACATTCCCTAGCAACAGACCTGATCTGAATCTTCCCTTTCTCAAAGCCTCAACGCATTTAAGGCTTTTTTCAACATGGTATATATTGCTAGATTCTTGTACCATCACTAGGCAGTGAAGTTCAAGAAAATATATAACATATATAACATTATTAATATATAAATATAGAACATTATTAATTTACCTCTGTGGATCCTGTATCAGCTGAGCAAGGACTGGAAAAATCTGAGGCAGTAGGTACACAAGCTACATCATCTGAGGTTTGCACAGCCCAGCTATTTGCAAATTCAGCAATGTCTTCTGTATATTCACCAACTGCACAAAAACATTGGAAGAGCATCCAGGAAAAAAAATATTTGTCAACACAAACACAAAAGACAGCTTGGAAATTTCTGGTAGTTTTTCAATGTGTTCGTTACCTCAGTTACAGGTATGTTTAGAGTACAGGTGGTGTAGAAAAATGTTATTTTGCTTTTTTAATTCCAGGTAGTATTTTATACTACATATAAATGAAAATATTAAAAAAGTAGATGACAAGGTGATGGTTGGGATTTTTTTAAGTGCAATCACTGTGCTTAATATACAAATAAGGACAAACATCTTGTATTGAATACTTAAGAAAAAAATGCATTTCTTTAAAACAATTTAAGGCTTTCATCATGTTTCACAAAGGTCAGTTAGCACTGTTATCTCCCTCCTTTTCCCTTGCTGCAGAAATGCCCTACAACAAACACACCACTACATGCCCAGCTCTCCTCACAGTATGAGCATGGGAGAATTAATGAACAAGATGCATTACTGGAAGTCATGGCAACAGGCTGAGGAAGATACACGAATATACAAGAAAGTTGGCAGTAAAGGAACAGACCCAAAATTTCCATGTTTTTGCAGCAAGAATTAAATATTACATTTCTCTGTGTTCTTAAGTATGTTAAAAAGGCTATGTATCTCCACCTTGAAGAACCTTACAGTAATTGATATCTATGCTAAGGTTATCTATATCTATGCATGGTTAAAAGATAGGGCATTGAAATTAAATCGGCTACAGTTTTTTTCACAGAGCTGTACTATGCAAAACTTAATCTAACTTCTTCTAGCACAAGATGTACAAAGTTTGACACACTGCAATATGGAAAGCCCCAAAACACACTAATCAGATATTTGTACTTGGATCTCCACAAATAAACAAAGATAAGATCCTAACCACCAGTCTATTTTATTTAAGAGCCAGAACACTTAAGAACTCCTCTGTGATGGAATAGTTCTTTATGCAGAAAACCCTTCCAAAACAGAAAAATCTGGGTTTGATGTAGAGGTAAACCTGTTGACATAACTCTGCTTCTGCAAAAACATTAAAAATATTTTATTTACATTTCAACATGGCTTGAAAAAAATTTCTAAGTCCTCAAAAAATGCTACAAAATAAAAACACTGCCCTTGAAACAGTTCTATACACAGATACAGCCTTGTATATTAAAGCAATACAAAGATGACATTAAAGATGAAGATAAGAAAACAGAAAAGAAGGGTTTTTTAAACTGTGCTTTGAAATGGAGTATGACATGCCTCTCAGCAGCTGATTTATTTGGGCCATTGCAAACAGAGAGCATTCAGACTCTGGAAGACACAGGACAGTTGTAAGAGCTTCCCTTACACTACTGGGGGAAGTAGTTTAGCTGGGGGAGATAAATCATCATCCCAAATTATTTTTAATATTTGAAAACACTTAGAAAAATGTTGCAGCTTAGAGGTAATTTGAATTAGCAGTCTATTCTTGTGAAGATACCAGAACTTCAGGCTTTGTATTTGCAGAGAGTCAAGGCACCATGTTACACAACTGGTTCAAGGTTAAAAAGATTCATAGTGCTCTTGATTGTACACTACAATAATACTGTCATTTCTGATAAAGAAAAATGCTAGAAGAAATTATGATGGTGAAGAAATGTAGCTGTGGAAATGAAGAAAGCTAAGAGCTGGAAGTCTTTTATAATATAATACTTAAATTACTATTTTTTAGATATCATGTGAATCCATTAGCTCTTCCAAACTCAATTTTTCTCCATTGTTACAGATCACCAGTTTTAACTCATTAAACATACTATACTCTGATGTGTGGAAGTTAATGTATGAAAAAAGGAACTTACTGCTCTCATGGCAGAAGAGGTATGAGAAATTTATATTGGGCAGATCTTTTTAAAGACTATACAAAGATAGGTACACTGCATCTTCCTTCTCTTAGAAAGTCAAAAACTCTGCTATCAACCATAAAAAAATGGGGAAAAAACGAGGAGGGGAAAAAAGTTACAGTTAGATAACTTTTGTGACTTCAAATATGCAGGGCCATGGGACTAGATTCTCTCAGCAATTAATGGTAACAGTAAAACAGTCCTATTTTTTTTTTTATCAGAGACTGTGAAAAATATTCCTTATATTCTCAAGCTTGTTCTTTTTTTTCCTTCACATTAGTTGCAAGTAGGACAAAAGTCCCTACAGAGTATCCCCTACATAGACTACAGAATATTCTACCAGCTTAGCAAGTCAACTCTGCCTCAGACACAGCACTGGGCAACTCCTCACCCTAAAGGGTAGACAGAGGCCAGTGATACACAATACCAACAAAGAGATACAAGGAACTCTCTGGCAACACCTTTGAAATTTACATATTTCAACTAGCATTTTTATGATGTTTATATAAATGAATGACTCAAGATGGTGCTTTTTCCAAATATTAATATTTTGGCTCTTCTCTCCTTCTCCCTCCATCCTTAAACATAGAGAAAACCACAAGCATTTGTTTATTTTTTATTATTTGAAGGCACTTTTATCAGCTAAGATAAACATAGCCCAAGTGCTTTGCTGAGCAAGAAAAGGCTTAAACATACTTACAAATACTTTATTGAACTGGGACCTTTTATCTTAGCATCTTTAACGATGAGGAAAAGTAGAACAGATATTATATTTTCTACTGAAATTACTGAAACAGGACTCGGTCTTTTTACAGTATTATATTTAATGTGAACATGGAAGCTGTTCACACAAGGTAGGGGTGTATTTCTAAGCTATTTACTAAGCTATTTACTTACTATTCTGCAGTATCAGGTCATCATATTTATTGTCATTAAAATTTCCACAGAGGCCACAAGGTTTTCCCTTATGATCTTCTGTCAGCTTAATATAAATGCCAGAGTTTCCATCCCAAGCAAGAGAAAAGCCAAAGGTAGTCTTCACCAGAATGTAGTCAGCCAGTCTCTCAAGGAAAGCATTTCCAACTGTCTGAGGCAACATTAATCTGGAAAAATAAATAGCCTGCTTCAAAGATCTCAGATGAGATGAGGTTAGTGCTGGAAAAATACCACATAAATTATCACCTTCTAACTCACTAAGACCTTTTTCCCCAGGTATATACAATCACTTCCATTCAATTCTTTTTTTTTCATTTTTTTACTGTCTTTTCTTCTCTTTACTTCTTCATATCGACCATCAAAAATTAATACTTTTCCTCTGTATACACTTATCAGTTGTACCAGTTATAAGCCTGAAAGAATAATGAATCCTCGTTTTCGAATCCCAGCATGAGCACGTTGAGGAATACGTGACTTCATGAGCATGCTGCATTGCACAGGGAGCTATATGACACTATGACCACCAGCAGCCCTTCTGGGCACAGGGTCCTCACTGGGTTAGATGTCTGCAAATGGAGGAACTTACAGTACAGAAAATCCTATTGAACAAAATACTTTGTATTTTCCTCTTTTGGCCAAAGACTGCTGGACAATAATACTGCAGCATGGTTCTAATCCTAATCTTCTGAAGTTGCTTCTGTTGGGATGAACAGCATCACAGTAGCTATCAGTCTCAGATGCTAATGGCTATAGCATTACACCAAAGGGGATGGCAAGAACACCTTAACATCTCTTTTAAATTTTCTACTCTTTATCAACCAGTAAAAAACATACTTATGATAGCCTGGCACTCATCTTTTTACTTATTAAAAAACAATTGATAAATTTGGGAGTTTGATATACCTACCTCAGAGATGTTTTGTGGCGTTTTTGCCCCGAAGGGGCAAAGGGGGCTTAAGACCTTTGATTCAACCATTTCAGACTTGTCTAGAAAAAGATTACGTCTTGCGTTAAGTATAGCTACCAAGAAAAAATAATAACTGCCTTGTTCAAAGTGATGTCAGGAAGCACCAAGAATTAGTTAGAATTGCCTGATGTGGACTTTGTCTACACAAAGTAGGGATGGGTAATCGTTAGGTTACAGCTGAGAAGTTGAACACAAGGTTCATGCAGGGAGTGTACACTGTCCTCACTCGGGTATTACATCAGCACCATTACATCTGCTCACACTAGAGCTCTATCAGCCCCAATACAGAACAGCAAGGGATCAATAAAGATATATATCAAATTATTTTCTCTGGCTGGTGTAAAAAGCGTCAATTTTGCAAACTCCACGTGATCTTTTTGCAATAAGATGTTAAAGCTCACATTAGAACAATTACCTGATTCCTTCTTTTCTTACTTCATGTCCTGAAATAATTATTTCTTCTTGGTTTGAAAAAAATAAGCTGATGGACCTCTGACAAGTATACACCGAACCATAACAGTGAGGACTGTTATGAACCTTAGAGGGGAAAAATATACACACAATAAGAATAAATGTTTGTTCTCAATAATTTCATGGAATTTTTCATAAACTCATGTATAATACTTCAGATTTCTATGTACCAATCACTGAAAGAACTTTACAAATAAATACTTAGAATATAAAAAAGACATAATTACAACTATATGCAAAACTAAAAGTTCACACTACCCAATACTGCTGAGAAATACATATACAGCAGCTGTTTAACAGCACAAAGCATCACAAGACAGCAGTTTAAACACTGGATAAAACATTCAGATATTTTACATAGATGAACTTCAGAGACACTCTAGTGAGCTAGCTTACAACTGCCAACATAAGAGCTTGTTATTTGCACTGAGGAGACACCCCTATTGCTCTGTGTCTAGAGGTATGACCTACAAGAGAGGACTACAAACCAATACAAAACCTCAGCGTAATACCAGCGTTCTCCATGCCAGCTGAGATTGGCACCAGCTGAACTACAGCATGCCTTCCTGAACCACTCAGGATTTGTTGAGATTTTGGAGCATTCCCATGGATTACTGCAGGCATCTAACTTACGTGGATCTGTTAAAACCTGTTTCGCCCTGGCTTTCCAGCCCTGCTAATGGAGGAGAGCAGGCGTTTCTGAAGTCTGCCTCTCCCCTTTATACATATATAGCATAGTAAGCCAGGTTATCGGTTTGAATCGTGTGTCAGCTTCCCTGGTTTGAAAACAGCAATGGAAATACAAATTTCAGTCAGCCAGAGAGAGATTTGCAAAACTGTATCTCAGATATTGGCCATGTGTGACTGCCATGACTGCCCACTAGTAAAGAAAGGTGTTAAATAGATCTCAGATGCATGCTTCCAGAAATTAAAACCATGCAACTCATATCTCAGCATGTCTACAGTTTTATGGTAGTGAAGCAGATCTCGCATTAAAAAAGTGTAAGTAGACCTTGGAACAGGCATGATAAGCCAGCACCCTTCCTTTTTACAGTATGACAAAAAAAGAGACTACCCCTGAAGTCAAACTTCCTTTGCATTCCCAGCATTTGGCGTGGCAGAGCATGACTCCTGTAGGAAGGTCCTTTTCCCCAGAGACCACACAGCTTTCATTGGCCAGAGCATGCTCTCAGAACTTGGAAACTGTGGGTTCAGATTTACTCTGACTGATGATAGGGATATAGGTCTCCAACTTTCTGTGCATGTGCTCTAAACCAATTGACTACTACACAGTTTTGAATCACACTTACACAGTCTAAGTGCGGTTTTTGACTCCTATGACCATTCTCTGAAAAGGATGGAAGCTGCATTACCAGTTTACTTGACAGTGCTGAGAAGCTAAATAGATTAGTAACTGGGAAACGTTTTGCCAACATAGTAATGGAGGCTGTAAAAGTAACTAGAGCTATCATTTTTGTAGAAAAGATCTGCTAGTAAACACATACAGTGCTAACACATATTTGAATTAATCTTCCTAAACTGACACTTAATCCTGGAAGTAAACACCAGTTACTGTTTCTTTGAATGAAATAAACCAGACCAGGAAAAGCATTAGAGTTTTTACATGTATAAAGAAAATCATAATTAAAGAAATCATAAATGTTACTAGTATTGACAGATGGTTTCTATGTAAACCTGGCCCAAGACAGAAAGGAAAATCAAGGAAAATCAAAATAATTCTTGTGTTTTCTTCTTCTCTAGAGGTGGATTATTAAAGCCAGAAGGACCACAATGTGAGGATTTGGCAAGGTTCTTGACTCTCCATTGCCCAGCCTGTAGTGACTGCAGTCGTTATGACTTTTCTGAGTAAACATTCTCAGTATTTAGCAAAACATGACATTTATTCCAACAATTGAGTGGTAGTTTCTCTCTTTCCAGAGCAACTGGAATCCACTGAAATACTGATTCTAGGTTTTAATATAAACTTGGGCTTTGCTGTAGCATTTTCTGAAAACTCCTAGAAGATCATAGCTACACACAGAATCCAAAGAATAAAAATTAAATAGTGGAAGGCAGATGTAACAGCATCTGTCTATACCCTGAGTGAGCAGAAATGGAAGTTTTAATGGCAGATTTATCTTCACTAGATACTACTGTCTAGGGGAAGAAGAGGTGACAAATGAAAACTAGTCCTTGGAGCAGAAAAGAGCACCCAGGTCTGCCCTCGCCCCTACAAGCACTGTGACCACCAGGGCTCAGAATTAAGACCCCTCTTGTCCCCTCTCCCCCAACGAATCAGCACCAAATCCCCACCATTGTGTAAAAAGTAACATAATGAGCTCTTATCTTCTCCCCACAGTAACCAGCAGCTTGATAAATAGGGCATTTTCCTTCAAAGAGGGCATACATTTGAACTCTCCCTGACTCAAAGTCATTAACCATGGATACTCAGCAATTAGAGGAAATTACTAAAAAAAAAAGTATCTTCCACACATAGATCAAGGTGAAGGTTTTTGAGCTGTTAATCTTCTCTGCATGATGTAGAGGTAATCCAAAATTAGAACGCAAATCCCCAGACAGGACAGAGTTTTCTTGTGGGCCAGGGAGCAGCTCCCCATAGCGTGCCAATGGCTGTGAATTGGGGCCCATCACGGTCAGGTGCTCAGCTCTCAGGCAGGTGATAGCTGTTTCCACTTTACTCAGAAACACAGGGGGTTTTTTCAGTCTGACAGCTGAAGTTTATTGAAGTTTCCAAGGTCTGCTTTAAGACCCACTTTTGCTCCCAGAAAGGAGAGATCAGGGATCCTTTTTAGGATAAGGGAAGTAAGAAATACTATTTTTAATATACTGAGTCTGTTGATTATCATTTCATCAGTGTTTTGAGTTACTGCACATAGGCTTAGACATTTTCCAGCAGCACAGTGTTATATTTAAGTAAGCAATGCAATGGTGTGATCCATTTATTGTCTCTCTACTTATTTTACTTATGTTGAAAAGTAAGTCCTGTAGTATGGGAATACTCAGTGCGTTATTTCTAGCATATGCTCACATACTTACCCAAACAGTGTACTGGGGTTCTGGAGTACTGCAGTCTTTTGCAAAAATATAGGAGCAATTTCCTGGGAAGTAGTAGTAGATGCCATCAAATGTTTCAAAATGATACTGTCCCCATGATTTGCAAATCCCATCTCGGTCCTTACCAGTGTTAGGTACTGGAGAGAACACACTGAGTTTATAACAAGCATGGTAATCAAAAATTGACAGGTGTCATAGGCATCTACAAAAGCAAGAGCTCAGAAAGGGAATAAGAGCTTATAAAGGAAGAACACAGCAAGGACAAAAAATAACCTCATTTCTTCAACTTTGAATAAAGTCAGTACATTTATTTTAATCTATAGGCTGCAGTTTTAGTCACATGCAATCATCATAAGTTTTTAATTTGCTTCAGTTGAGACATTTTAATTACAAGTAGAGGCAAGTGATTTAGATCTACTGCAGATCCTGGAAGACAATTCTTGTTGATCCCTACACTCAACAGATTCCAGAAACTAGTGCAGTGAAATGGCTGGTAGTTTTATTTGCGGTAAGTCACTGTTAGAAAAATGCAGTGACTTTTTGGTTGTTCAGCTAACTATTAAAAAGCTGGCTTAGGGACTTAGGGACTAGACAGTGATCTGTCTGTCATGGTATCTATGTATCATTACAGCCCAAGTGCTAAAATG